AAAATTTTGAAATAAAATAAAATAAAATCTATATCCAAAAGAAAATATAAAAAAAATTTTGTTGAGAAGGAAATAGCAATGAGACAGTTTCAAAACTGATTAGTAGGACAGTTTCAATAATTAATACATTGCATATTGTTGTCTTCTTAGTGGTTATTCATAGTGCAAGATGCAGACACATTATCCTGTCCACAAACACTATTAGAACAAATCTTTCTATTCATTGATTTAAGAGAAAGTAGCTGTAAATCTATCCTATTTTAAATATCTATATTTATATCTATGATATTCTTAAATTTTACAACAATGACTTGGAATAGGTCTTTTTTTCATTTACATGTCCTTGCTCAATAAATCTTCTTGCTCTGGATATTTTTCCCCTTCAGTGTTAGGGACCGATTCCAGAGCCTCATGCATGCTGGGCAAATACTCTCCCATTGGGCTACATTCCTAGCTTCTGGAAATCTTAAATTCTGAAACATTTATTTTGTTATATAAGATAGCTCTTACTGCTCTCTAAAGCTTCTGTTACTCAAGCATTGTGATATTATTTGATCCCGTCATTTTTTTCCTCTTAAAAAAATTAAATATTTTTATGTGTTTTTGCTCTAGAAGTGTCTCAATTGTATCTTCTAGCTTGCTTGTGCAAATGTTTAAGTTTTTAATCATACAGTATTGATTTTCAAAACCTCAGAAAAAAGCAAGGCTAGCAATCCTATTCTCAGACAGTCTCAACTTCAAGAATGATCAAGTGAAATAAAGAAGGCCATTATATACTGGTTAGGGGAAAAATTCAAGAGGAAGAGGTAACACTCATAAATATGTATGCACCAAATACGGGAGCACCCAACTATACAAAGCAAATCTTAATGGATGTGAAAAATCTAATATCCAATATCACAATCTTAACAGGAGACTTTAACGCCCCCTTATCCCAAAAAGATAGGTCAACCAGACAAAAAATTAGCAAAGAAATGACAGAAATGAACCAGAGCTTGAAACAAATGGACTTGGTAGACATATACAGAGTGTTCCACCCAAACACAGCTGAATACACATTTTTCTCAGCTGCACATGGGTCATTTTCTAAAATAGACCACATACTGGTCCATAGGTCATGCTTAAGTATATGCAAGAAAACAGAAATTATCCCTTGCACATTATCTGACCACAGTGCAATGAAACTGGAAATAAATGACAAAAGAAACCAGGAAAAAAACCCTAAATATATGAAAATTAAATGACAACTTACACAGCAACCAACTGAATCTCAGATGAAATTAAACAAGAAATACAACAATATCTAAAATTCAATGAAAATTCAAGCACAACTTATCGGAATTTATGGGATACGATGAAAGCAGTTCTCAGAGGGAAATTCATAGCTGTGAACTCACACATTAGGAAAACTGAATGGGAACAAATAAATACTTTAATGCTGCACCTTCAACAACTAGAAAAGGAAGAGCAAACCAAGCCCAGAGCCCAAAGACGGAAAGAAATCATAAAGATTAGAGCAGAAATTAATTCAATTGAGATGAAGAAAACAATTCAAAGAATTAAAAAAGCAAAAAGCTGGTTCTTTGAAAGATTACATAATATTGATAAGCCCCCAGCTAACCTAATCAAAAAGAGGAAAAAAAAATTCAAATACAAGCAATAAGGAATAAAAAGAGTGTAATTACCACAGACCCAGTGAAAATTCAGAATTTCATCAATAGCTACTTTGAGAATCTTTACTCTCACAGAATAGAAGACACAGAAGAAATGGACAAATTCCTAGAAAGGTACAAATTATCACAACTAAATCGACAAGATATAACCACTCTCAATAGTCCAATAATAGCCAAACAAATACAAGATATAATAAAAAACCTACCAACAAAGAAAAGTCCAGGTCCGGATGGATTCACAGCTCAATTCTACAAGACATTTACAGAAGATGTAGTTCTTAAACTCCTCAAACTCTTCCATGAAATTGAAAAGGAAGCAATCCTCCCAAAATCATTCCTGGAGGCATGTATTATACTGATACCAAAACCAGGGAAAGACACAACTAAGAAAGAGAACTACAGGCCAATCTCCCTCATGAACATAGGTGCCAAAATCCTCAATAAAATCCTAGCAAATAGGGGGCCGGGGAGATGGCTCAGTGGAATAAGCGCTTGCCTGGCAAGTGCAAGGGCCTGAGTTCAATCCCCGGTTCCGAAAAAAAAAAAAAAAATCCTAGCAAATAGAATACAGCAAATCATCAAGAAGATCATACACCATGACTAGGTAGGATTCATCCTCGGGATGCAAAGATGGTTCAATATTTGAAAATCTATAAATGTAATACACTATATCAATAGAGCAAAATCTAAAAATCACATGACCATCTCCAGTGATGCAGAAAAAGCTTTTGACAAAGTCCAACACTCATTCATGTTCAAAGTCCTATAGAAAAGTGGAATAGATGGTCTCTACCTCAATCTGGTAAAAGCCATTATGAAAATCCAATGGCTAACATAATTCTAAATGGGAAAAACTGAAATCTTATACTCTTAGATCTGGTACAAGACAACGATGTCCTGTCTCACCACTCCTATTCAATATAGTTCTGGAATCATTAGCTAGAGCCATTAGACAAGAGAAAGAAATAAAATGAATAAGACTAGATAAAGAAGAAGTTAAATTATAATTATTTGCAGATGACATGATACTTTACTTGGAAGATCCAAAAAACTCCACCAAGAAGCCACTAGAATTACTACAGAAATTCAGTAGCATAGCAGGATACAAAGTCAATACCCAAAAGTCAATAACATTCCTCTACACAGATAGCAAACACACTGAGAGGGAAATTATAGAAACAACACCTTTTACAATAGCAGTGAGGAAAATGAAATACCTTGGAATTAATCTAATTAAAGAAGTTAAAGATCTTTTCAAGCAAAATTACAGTACTCTTAAAAAAGAGATCATAGAGGATTTCAGAAAATGGAAAGATATTCCATGCTCCTGGATAGGAAGAACCAACACTGGGAAGATGGCCATACTCCCAAAATTGCTGTGCAGATTTAATGTAGTCCCCACCAAACTACCACCAACATACCTCACAGACCTAGAGAAATCATTCCTAAAATTTATTTGGAACCAGAAAAGAACTAGAATAGCAAAGGCCATCCTGGACAATAAAGACAAGGCAGGAGGCATTACAATTCCTGACTTGAACTTATACTACAAGGCTACTGTGATAAAATCAGCATGGTACTGTCAACAAAATAGATGTGAGCATCAATGGAATAGATTAGAAGACGCGGAAGCCCCTACAAACATACTCAGCCACCTTATTTTGAGAAAGGTGCCAAACATACTCACTGGAAGAACTACAGCCTTTTTAACAAATTGTGCTGGAAAACTGGCTCTATACATGCCAAACACTAAAACTTGACCCAGGTCAATCACCATGCACTAAGCTAAAGTCAAAATGTATTAAAGATCTAAACATTAAAACAGAGACACTATGTCTCCTGGAAGAGAAAGTAGGAGGAATTCTTGAAGACATAGGAGTAGGCAAAGAGTTCATGAACAAAAATCAAATCACACAGGAAACACTTGAAAGAATTAACAACTGGGACCTGCTGTTATTGAGAAGTTTTTGCATGTCAAAAGAAATTACCAACAAAGTGAAAAGGCAACCCACAAATTTGGAAAAAAATCTTGACAAATAAGTACTCAGACAAAGGTCTGCTCTCTAGAATTTATAAAGAACTAAAAACCACTAGGGCCCCAAAATTTA